GGGGGGGGGGGCGTGGCTTTCAGACTATGATTTCAATGTGAGATTTCTTTCTAGGAATAGGAACAGACCATAATCAATACAAATGCCATCAGTAACAATTTAAAATGAACAGTATGTGCCATAATTTTGATATATGTTTTTACAGGATGAGTTAGACAGTGACTACAAGGAATATGATACTGCACAGGGATCAGAAGAAGAGAAACAAGAAATTCTGCAAGGGAGCTCAACTTATAAAAGATTAAGGTGAGACACTGTCATCATGCCATCAAAACAGGACATTCTCAGTCACTGATAAAAGATAGTAGATTCTGAATTTTTGTACTCTTCAGAGAATTTATCCAGTTGCTTGATTCATTTTGTAGTACATGTTCTACCTGGATCTCAAACCTTTATCAATCTGCCCTGATATATAGATTGTCTGTCTTGTTCCTTGTTCCCCTCAAGAAGTAATATTTTTCAATGTTTGCTATCATTATAATCTGCAACCTTTCTCCCTTTTTGTCTACATTGTGCCAGACCGAAGAGGAAGTGCACAAGGAACATTCCAACTGACAGAGATGAAGAGTCAGCCTGGAAGAAGTGTAAAACTGAGGAGACAGAGACACCTCAGCTCTTCCCCTGTCCTACCTGCAGTAAGGGCTTCAAATCACAGAGCGATATGCAGATTCACATGAGGAATCACACAGGTGAGACCCTTACACACATACAAACACACAGGTGAGACCCTTTTATACGTGGAAACACACGAGACCCTTGTATTATACACATGGAAACACATAGGTGTGACCTGAGAGACCCTTGTGCACATGGAAGCACAGTGCAGGTGAGAAGTTAGTTGTTTTGCTATCCAGAAACAGGTGAGAATGTCAGGTATTAAATGTAAGAGTGATACTCACATTCCAACAAAAATTTGAATGTTAATGATTACCAGAGCTTTGATTTTGATTTTCCTTGCAATGTGGTCTTCAAATCTCAAGCACAACTACATGTATTAATATTTTTAGTATGATTTATGAAGCATTTTTGTAACCCACTGCAATCTTCTCTTTTCAGGAGAAAAGCCGTTCTGTTGCCCTTTCTGCAAGAAGGCGTATCCCCGGCGGAAGACCATGTACCGCCACATCCGTGATCAGCATCCCGACCAGTGGCAGCGGGGGTGTTTCCCGGCCAGACGGTATCGCACAGCCATCAACCAAGCCATGAAGGACAGCCTGAGACAGTGGAAATTACAACGCAACACACCTTCAACTGGTAGGTTAATGTTTTCCCTATTAAAACCCAGCTATTTAACTATTTTCAACATACAGTTAAGATTCTAGTTACTTTTTTCAACATACGATTTCAATTTACAGAGTATCCCCTTATATTGTGGTACCCTCAGACATACTTTATACTTTAGGTATCACGTTACCATACCAGTATACTTAAATACTATATTTATGATGGCATCTTAAGTAGCAACTGCTCTTATATTTTTCAGATGCTGTGGCTGGCACTGAAGGTTCAGCTGGCACAGGTGTAGAAGACCAAAGTAAGGTGTCACAGCTGACCACTCCACCAACTACTCCGAGTAAACAGCCACCATACGATGCTACTTGCGGAAAGTACAAGAAGATTGCCCCCGCCCCTCTAAAGCCCCAACTTCCTGTCGTCGGACAGATGCCCGTGTCCACTCCCTCAGGAGTACAGCAGCAGTTTTTCCTGATCAACCCACAGACAGGAGTGGCTGTCCCCATCAACCTTGCCGCAAACACGTCCACAGATCCTGCAGCAACCAACACAGCTTCAGCATCTATTGCCATGCCAGCCAATCCGCAGGTTGCTGTACAGACTTCCTCACCACCTGTTGCCATGGCAACCAATCCACAGGTTGTTGTACAGACTTCCTCACCATCCATTGTTATGCCAACCAATCCACAGGTTGTTGCCATGCCGACAGTAGGATCTGCATCATTCACACAGGCAACACCAACGCTGACGACTCCCACAACCCCTGTGGTACAGCACCCTGTCCTGGCCACGATGCTGCCTCCAGCTCAACAAGCAAACGTTGCTATGGCAACAGCACCCAGGGCATCACTTCCCACCCAACAGGCAGTGCCACAATTTGTCGTGACAACACCGCCTTCTTCACTCCCACCACTCAACCAAACGTCACAGGTTGCCACGACAACTGCCACCATGGCAACCGTTCCAACCCCATCCACCCCAGTCCTCCAGCAGGTTGCCATGCCAACGTTTGTCCCAGTGCAGTACCAGGCAACATTTCCGTCTCAAGCTGCCCCCATGGTTCAACAAGCTATTCTGCCCAAAGTGTTCCAGGCACAAAATCAGGGACCACCGGCAACTGTTGCCATGACAACAGGCCCATCTTCACAGGTCGCTATGGGAACCAGAAGTCCAGTCATTCCTGCAGTTCCGCCTGCTGTCATGCCGAAACTGTTGCCAGCACAGAACCAACCTGCACAGGTCGCCATGACAGCAACAGCCGTAACGCCAGCTCATAATGCTCCAATGATCCAACAGGTTGCCATGCCAACGTTTCCTTCGGTGCAGAATCAACAACCACAGGTTGTCATGACAACGATGACACCATCAGTTGTTCCTGTACAAAGCATACGTCCACAGGTTTCCATGGCAACAGCTCCAAACATTCCACCTGTTGTCATGACAACCGTTCGATCCTTGCTTCCAGTGGGAAACCGACCACAAGGCATTCCCATGGCAACAACCATGACAACTGCCTCATCACAGTCTACCATGGCAACGGTTGTCAAGACTGAAAGCATCCAGCCAACCGTTACGTCATCACTCTCTGCTCCATGGATTTCTGTTGTGCCAATGTCCAACACATCTCAGTCGTCCTCTTCTGTTCCCTCTGTTGTCATGGCATCACAGCCTTCCTCCTCCATCGTCACAAGTTCTGCAGCTGAGCTGAAACCAGTGCACCCGACGGGTCACATTCTCACCACAGCTGCTTCCTCGTCAAACAGCTTCGCAACCCCCTCACCATCAAGTAATGTTCCAACACAATCACAAACAATGTTGTCACCTTCCCTTGCAAAGAACATGCCTTTGTTAACTCAACGTATGCTTGCTCCAAAACACAGTGTTCCCCAATCATCATCATCTACGGCTGTGACAAATGCAATGCCTGTGCTGCAGATACACAATGTCACTTTGACAAGCACTTCCTCCCAGACAACCTCCCAAAACAATGTCCAGTCTTCAGTTGCTAAGCAACAAGCTTCCCCAGTAATGACAGTGACCACACAAACTGGAAAGGGGAATGTTCTTGTAGCAGGTCGAATCTCACAACCACCACCCAGCCGTCATCAAGCCAATGTCAGAGGAGGAACACAAAATGATGCATTTCTTCCCAATCTCGATGTTGATTCTGACGAATATTTTATCGCTGGTGACAAGGCCAGGTCTTTGATTCATAACACACAAGGTCAAACATTGAATCAGAAATCAAATACAAGTAAGCAGAAAATGCCAGCGACAACAACTACATCTATTTTACTGGAATCTAATACTGTTCCTGCAAGCACACAAATCTCCAAGTTTCGTCCGATCCTACCAAGAACACTTGAGAGTGCTCTCAACAAAGACACCGGACAGTACAGGTCTCTAACTACAGACGTCTTGGAGAGGAACAACACCTGCTCCTTGTGTGGGAGCATGTTAAGAAGTTTACGGTATCTTATCATGCATCTCTTCAAGTTTCACCAGCATTACAAGTGCCGGCTGTGTGCACCCCGAGTTACTGAGACGTTTGCCACAGAACAGCTGTTAAAGAACCACCTCCTTCACCGACATTGGCCAAGCCAGAATGTCCCTAACAAGGAGCTTGAATTAACCGCAAGGCGGTTACACTATCACTTCAAGAGAGCATGTCAGGCAGTGAAAGCCGTCCGTGCGATTGGTGACCCCGTGGAGGTTTCGGAGATTACAAGTTCTGAGATAATCTTCAATAACGGAGATACACTGAAGTACAGAGTCAACTACAACATCCTGACTCCCGGCAAGTTCATGAACGATGGAGACATCACAGTGAGGAAGACAAGCCAAAACTCCCTCAGTATCACTTGCATCTTCTTCCATACAAGTAGTGTTTTGAAAGGGGGGAATGCCGAGACGGCTGAGCTTGCACCAAAAGGCACAGTACACCCCGCAGCAGATGGACAGTCCTCACAAAAAAACAGACTGGAGGTCTGGAAAACAGCCGTGCAGCCCCACCTAATGTAGCAGTTCTCCCCAAAGGAAGGAGTTTCACAGCAATTACTTCAACTCAGAAGGAGAGTACACCAAAAACATCTCTCCAAACAGCCGCTGCAAGTTTGAGTTCCCCGCAAGCAACTTCATCTGCATCACATCCAACGCCGTCAGAAGGTGTAAACCAATCGGAGACTGAGGCTTCCACGAGTCCTTCTGATACGCTGGAATGGCATGCCTGCGACGTCTGTGGTCAGGTCTTTGCGGATGTTCCACAGCTGGAAGAACACATGAACCTTCACATCATGCTCAAACCCTTCAAGTGCAATCTGTGTAGTCGTACGTTTCCACACGCAGCGACTCTGGAAGCCCATGTCAAGGCTCACTACAAGGGAGAGATTGAAAATGAGCCGACAACAGTCCCAGGCAATGTGAAAATCAGCTTCTGCAAGGAGTCGAAGAAAGCAGAAAGTCCAAGTGAGAGAGGAAACAATGAAGTGAAAGTGGAAACAGATTCAGCAACAGCAGATTCAGAGGACAGTGTAAGTGACGACAGCTCCAACAACATGTGTAAGTTGTGTGGCAAAACGTACTCTAACGGTGCAAGTCTTGTACGTCACCTTTGGACACACCAGGAGGGATTCAAACTGAGCTGCCCAATTTGCTGGAAGGGCTTCAATCTCTCATACCACCTCAAGGAACACATGAACGTTCACACCAAGACTAAGCCCTACAAGTGCCACGTCTGTGGCAAGTCCTTCACCACTCAGGCACCCTGAGTGCCCACCTGAAAAGTCACAAAAGCCGTGAAGGAATCGTAGCAGAGTACAGTTCCTTTGGCTGCCGATACTGTTCCAAACAGTTTGCCCACAGCAAAAAGTACCTAGAGCACCTGAAGGCCAGACATGGAGTTTTCGACTTTGACTTTGAGGAAGCCGAAAAAGACATCATCATGTCCAAGAAAGAAAATGCAAGTCAGTCGTGCCTGGAAACGGAAGACGCTGCAAAAGAATCAGAAACTGACAAGTCTCAAGCTGTTCCTGCTACAGCAACTAATGTTGCCACAAATCCCCCATGGCAGCCACAGTAAAACAAGAGCCAGATTCAATTATTCACACTTCTCCTTCCAAACAAAATGAGGCTCAGGCAGAAGCATCTGCTTCCAGAGAAGGTTCCAGAAACCAGACACGCAAAACTGTCGCAGAGCTTATTGGACTGCGCAAGGCCAAACCCGCAGCAACAGAGTCGTTCACAAATGAGTCCCAGTCTTCTGGTGAAGCGCCTCCGCTGGTGATTACACAGGCCATATCCCTGCGCCCATTTGTCGACAAAATCATAGCTGCCTCAGCTCCAGACCAGGTTCTTGTGGAGACCCCAAATATCAAGAAATTCAAGCCCATTTTGCCAAAAGCATCCATGCAGATGCCTTCAGAAGCCATGGAATTCCTAGTTCCCCCAGGTTCATTATCGTCACCTCCAACTGTGGAATTCCCGCAACTCCAAGTTCCAGCAGGTTCATTATTGACACGTCCAGCCGCGGAAGTCCAAGTTTCGCCAGGTTCATTATCGACAATGGTGACGCGGTCCGCAACTAAAGCCCAACAGATTCCCGAGAGCGTTACAGAAAGCTGGAAAATGGAGCACTTCCAGCCCATGGCTGATGCAGAAATGCAGAGGCTGCTGGAATTGGATGTAGCCAGGCAAGAGATGCCTGCAAATAAGCAGTTCCAAATAACGAGGTTCAGGTTCGGACAAAATATGACAACAATGGAAACTGCTGGAGGACACCAAATGATGAGGTTTAAAGTTGGACAAAATATGACTATGGTGGAAACTGATGGAACGCTGTTCTCCAGCGAAGGCCAAAACTCTCCAAACAGCAAAAACCTCAAGGAATCCAGATGGAAGATAACGCACTTCCAACCCATGACTGAGGCAGACAAGCAGAGGCTACTAGAATCTAATGTATCTAATGTAGCAAGGCAGGCAATGACGAGGTTTAAGTTTGGACAAAATATGAGGGTGATGGAAGCTGCTGCAACACCGTCCACAAATGAAGGACAAAACTCTTCAAACAACAAACCTATGGAATCCATGGCTGATCCAGAAAAGCAGAGGCAAGAAATGCCTGCACATCAGCAGGTCCAAACAGGGAGGTTCAAGTATGGACAACATGTGCACAGGTGGTTCAAATGTCGAAAGTGTGGCGTGGAATATAATTCTAAGCTGCACCTGAAACACCACATGTGCGGAGCATGCTCCAAGTACATGATGAAGTGCGACGATTGTGACGTGACCTTCTCCTCCTTCAAAAGACTGGAGCATCACCTGACCATGGAACACTCCGAGGATGAATTTGAAGAAGATGAGGAGTCATCTGGAGAAAGTGAGGAAGAGGGAGATGGCGATACAATGGACAGTCCTGTAGAACAAAGTGACCAAGAGAGACAAGAAAGGAGTAGCAGCACACAAGATGAAGCAAATTGGGAAAATGGACATGTAGTTGTCAAGGTCGAACCAGTGGATGAAGGCTATATGGAAACAACCAATCACCACGCTGCCATCAAGCAGGAAGAGTTGGAAGGTCAGAAGAGGTGGTTTGAAGGTAATAATGACCTTGGGGAGAAACCTGACCTTGATGGAAACAAGATGGCGGACTGTAAAGTAAAGGAAGAAGTAGAGGATGCCAGTTTTGAAGACCTTTGTATTGATGACTTACACATGGAAGACTTTGTGGAATTTAGTGAAGAAAAGGAAAACACCACCGACAAATGTGGAGAGCAACAATTGCATGATTCAAGATCAAAAATAAAAACAGAAGTTCAAGGTCAACAAGGGCTAGTATCTGACCAAGTAAATATCACAGAACAACAGGGAAGCCAATCAGAAGGCAGTCGAGAAGCAGAGCCTTGCCATCCTGACCAATCAGAGCACAGAGACATCTTTCAGGAAACAGGAGCAAAGGACCAATCAGGTGCTAAGGAAGAAGCACCTTCAGTTCATGAAAGCAAATTTGTTGACCAATCAGAAAATGTGGTCATGGACATGCATGCAAGCCAGAATAGCCAATCAGGGACAATGTTAGATAGGGAAGAATCAAAGAAAGGTTCTCAGGCTCAGATGTACAGATGCATGTTGTGTGGTTCCAAACAAGACAACTTGTTCTCTACTGCAGATTTAGCACAACATCTGACAGAGTACCATCATGTTGACAACCCAGATGTTTTCATGCAGGGTGCATTGTCTTGCTTCTCCACGGGCAAAAACTAACTTAATCTTTCACATATTTTGTGTACGCTTTCGGAACTCGCTTTTCTTTCATCTTTAGCACACTGAAGTAGCCATTTAGTTATAGTACAGGGTTACTTAGTCAGTGGGGAGAAGGTTATTTTTGGTATTGCTGAAATGTATCATCTTACATGTACATAAAGTAATGACACCATAAGCTTTGAAATACATACATTGACACATGGCATTTATGAGTAATTACTGTATTAAGCTCTTAAAAACATTGAACAGTAATAAGAACAAGTTACAGTGCTGTTAAACATCATTTCAGGTGTTTGGGTTTGATACAATGTAATTTTACAGGACTGCTGTAAAGTAGCTTTTCAACAACAAAAAGAAGTATAATCAACTCCATTTCTTCAGAAAATGTACAATGCTACGGTCATACATGAAGCTTTTTATGCAGAGCTTACTTGTTTTATATGCACTGTTGAGTGATTTATTTGCTAGATTCAACATCAAGATGAAGGTGATATGGTATCATTATGTGGTTTAGTACCAGGGCCCTGTAAGCTTGTTAATCATTATTTGTAATTGACACAAACATGTCTATTGGGGTGACCCACTGAGTCATCAAATAAAATTTGTTCCTTTTCCCTTATTCTACATGGTGTGGGTCTCAGATTTCATGTTTACATTCCTACATTATCAGGGAGAAGTTGTGTAAATGTTTACCTTTTGTCGGCCATCTTGATCAAAAGCTCTCTCACTTGTGTTTCTGGGCCTGGCTTTTCTGGATATTATTTATTTTCTGGACAAAATGTTTATTTTTTAACCTGCATGCCTTAATCTTCAAACTAGATAACTAGTAGCATTTTTACAATTTTTTTTTCACTTTACAATTGCGTGTCTTCGAAATGATAATGACATTGTTAATTTTTTTTTCTTTATAGAAATGCAAATATCATGCTAGACTCATGTAATTACATCAAAGTCATAGCTGACTTTTGATATTTGGGGTGCATGGGGTACTGTTATGTGCTTGGGCATGCACACCCATAACTTGGAGGCAATCCATTAAATTTATTACCTGTTTTTTGAGGCTATTTAACATGAATTGTATTTTTCCCTCTTTGGGATAGTCCATTTCTGTAAAAGAAAATGGTGATGTGGAGCAGTCCACTTTTGCATGTTAGCGCATGGGAAGGGAGATGGGGTGAAATATGCTAATATGTGATCTCAAATTTAGGTTTTCTGATCGGATCAGAGGTTTTGCTTTTTTTCCATGTGGTTTCTGCTGCATCTCTGCAGACTGGCATGGTACAATGACCCATCTGACTAAACCTACGCCACATAATCATAGAGCCACCCGAGCCACTTAGGCATTCCCTGATCCCCCTGCGGCTGTGCTATCTTGGCCGCCAGGTTGGGAGCCATACGGTACAGAACACGGACGGGCCACAGCAACCCGTGGGCTACGCGAGGGGGGAACATCTCCGTGTAGGTGGAAACGCAGACGCCGTCCACCACGAGAGACCCTCCCAGGGTGTGGGGGCAGTACAGGCCTCGCTTGATCTCTGTCTTGACTTCGATGACCTCTTCAGCGCGGGGAGCCTGGTCCAGCGCGTCAACCACGTGCACCACATCTCCGACCTTCACCTCGCGAGCGGTGAACAGTGCGCCGGTCTTCATGGCGTCCTTCCCCACGTAGATGTAGTGGCCCTCTGACAGGTGCAGGGTCTTCCCACCGGCGGTCGTGATGCGGATGAACGGGGCCAGGACGTCCTCCGCGGCGTGGCTGAAGAAGTACACGGTGTCCAGCTGGGCTCGTGCGGTGTCCTCTTGGCCGACGGAGACGACCTTCGTGCCGACCTGGAGAGATGCCATCTTGCTGCGGTGCTTGCCATCGATCAACACGGTAGAAGTGGCGGGGAAGCAAGTGTTGACTTTATATCTTATGTAGAACACGCTGACCTCTGGAATTCCGTATGGCCGTTTATTGGCCATGATCCCCCGGATGTAACCCACAAGCTCATCCCGCTGTCTATCAGCTGCATTACCTCTTGCCCTGTTGTTGAAGAGGACTTTCCTATAAACAAAACAAAACAACAATCTTTTATTATCATGACCTACTTGACTGCTACGGAGAGAAGTTGTTGAATTTCAAACTAGACAAACAAAGTTTTGAAGCTGTCAGTATTAACTTACTTGATCTGCTCTCTGAAGCAGCATTACCTTCGATCAATCTAGGGGGATTTTTAAAATTCATTTCTATTCGGTATTTGGTCTCTTTAATTTAGATTTACTTTCCAACTATGGTGTTGCAGGGCATAATTTGATACATACCGTTGGTCCACAGAGCGAAGAACATCATGCAAGGCATTTGACTTCTGAAAAGTAAGAAGATATTCGTCCAAATCCGTAACTTCCCCATCCTCAATCGCTCTCTCTACTTCATCCCCGTGCGTGAAGATGACGATGCCGTATTTGAGCAGCTTTTCTCCGAATAGGATCTTTAGATCACGGATCGCGTGTTCCTCCTCCAGTGTGAACTTCTGGTCGCAGCGTGTCACAAGAAGGAGAGCATTGACTCCCTCGGGGCACAGTTGACGGCAGTTATTGATCTCTTTCAGTGTGGTCGCCACATCTGCCTCTGTATCCATCACACCCGGGGTGTCAATGACATGAAAACAGACGCCATTGACCTTTAAAGGACAACATAAAAGATAGTCAGGGCCATCTTGATTGTCTCAAAGACTTCAATGTATACGTGTATAGAAAATTTAAATAGAAGTGCAGAATACTACAGATGACACATTGAAACTAAATTAAGTTACGTAGAGTATGCGCGACGACGTGGTACCTTAGCAAACAAAAATTCAAAAGCGCCTTTAGATGGTGAATTATGACGAACTGCACCCACCCAACATGTTGAGTACTTGACTCTGAACCTACCTCTTCCGTTTTTTCCTCGCATGTCTGGGTGCATGAATTGAACGCAAAAGACGTTTCGAATGCCCTGCCATTGAGTTTACCGTATTGGCCGAGGATGCTGTTACCAACGGCGCTCTTGCCATTGCCGGTCTTACCGACCATCGCAACAGTGAATTCAGACTAAAGTGAAAACAAACGCCAAGGATGAGTGGATCCGGAAGAAGTCACGATGATCCAATATTGTATATAATGATTACAACCACCATGATTTGTATACTGATTTGTGTACAAGTCTCAACTTGAAACATCTGTCTTTGATTTCTTTCTCTTGCCACAATTTTGAAATAATTGAGCATGTTATGTACAATATACATGTAATTGATAACAGTTCTGATGGGTCCAGTTCCACAAGTGATATCAATTAGAACTATAATTTTCAATCATGACAGATGGTAAAAAAGAATTTGTTCATCTTTATGATCTGAGAATTATTTGCCCTTTGAACAATGGATGCCGTTAGGACGTCAAATCTATAAACTGAGCAAATTTTTCGGTCAGATGCAAAGGTCCCCATTGTTGGTGAGCAGGCCTTTGTATGAATTAAGATAAGATATCGATCATTGCACTAACAATTTGTGCTATACGTGAAAAATAATCAAATCATACATGCGCATGGGGTGATTTTACATGATGGAATTTGCAACTATTTCAGAGTGATATATATATACATATATATCAGTTGAAAAACGTTAACGTTATTCATACTAAAACTGACCATTTTGTCCTTGCTAGGATTAATCTAGTACATGTAACAAAACCAAGCCATGCATGTGTACAATGTCAACAATTCCATGTCTAGGCATGCGCATTGAGCAGCATTCCGCCACGTACACCATCTTCCCCCTCGATATGTCGTTTCGTGCCCATGATTACAAGTGGAATATTGTAGCAAGATGAAAGTGTAACTTTTTATACAACAAAGATACATCAATTTGTGCCCAACAAGTTTGTTCAATCAATATTATTTGTCAACAAAGGTACATACGAACTCTCATGGTTACACTCGATTCAAACAAAGGTATATCATAAATGTACTTTCACCGCAAATCACCGGTGTACCTAAAATATATTTATCTTAACAATGAGTCATCTATTAAGATACTGCGCTAATCTAATTGCACAGTAATACATACGTATTACGTTAGCTGCTATTTTGTTGGCGACGTGAAATATTTTCACACGTCGCCATCAAATAAATACGCTTATAAAAGTGTTCAATTCTTTCTACCGTACAGTCTAAGTACAGTCAGCACCACTCTTACCATCTTTGGTGATATTCTCTTGTCCAATCCTGTTGAAAGTGTGGCGTAGCGTAGCAAAAGTTTTCAATACTAATGTATCACATGATATATGTTGAAACAGGCAAAACCATTCACGAGATGGAGAAAGATTTAGGTAAAATAAGGAAGAATCACTATAACACCTTGAAATAAACAGGGACAAATGTTAGACAACGACAAATTAGCTAACGGATAGTCTCCGATATTTGTCACGTCGTTGTGCGCCCAAGAGATCTACAAGTAAAAAAATTACGTCAACTGATATACCTGTTTTTGCAATAGACCGTGATTTTAGTGAGCATAGATCATTATTGATCAAAGTCACATGTGGTAATAAAGGTTGCTACTGCGGACCAGACTGTTGTTGCAACACGAAATAAGAAGAATCTGTCGAAGGTAGGTTTCTTAAATCCGGTTCAAATACAATAGTGACGTCTAGCGGTGCGCGAAAGCTCTTCTGGGTCAGCCGCCTGCATAGAATTCTTAGAAACTGTCATGCAGGAGAAAGTAGTTAGGGCTAGGGATTGGAATCTTAGAACGAAGGGGACATGCGTATTGAGGAATACATGTGCAAGTAAGTGGGTCGTTTTATATAATACTCTCTCAGTAATTTGACGCTAGAAACAGCGATGTGCTTTAGTTTGCCAATGTCGGCCTATATGTTTGTGGTCGCTCCGAGGGTCTTAATACTAGATAAGCATGTGGGACTCGGGAGGCATGGACTTTGAGTTTTGGTGGCCGCTGCGACTAATGTACCCCGCCGAGCAGCAAGAAAATCGATCCGCCGACGAGTCTGCTAGGGCAGCTCTAAATGACGTTTTCGCAGCAGTAATAAGCCCGGAGTTCTCTCGAGCGGAGATTTTCAGGAATCGGCCAATGCTCGCAGGTCACTTGTCGTTCACCGGACCGAGTCAATCCGACGATTTTAGACCGTCGTGCATCTTCAAAAGTCGGACATGAATAGCTAAAACTGCCGGTCCCGCGTGAGCTTTGCACAATCCTTAATTAATATAAGGGACTATAGTTCAAGTGGTACACAGTTTGATATTGTGATAACATTCTGTCACCCCTATGCATATAATTCAAAGTGTTCTTAATTTCTTTCTACCTGACACGTCAGGCACATTCTGACACATGCAACACGGTATAGTCAGCACAACTCTTACCATCTTTGATGCTATTCTCTTGCAAAATCCTTTGAAAGTATGGCGAAGCTTTAGTAATAAGGCCATCTGTACTGTAGCAACTTTTATGGACGACAGACTCCGCAGACTCCAAATCTAATGCGATAGGACGAAAAAAAAAACAAGGCGGGCAAAAACCCACGTTTCCTAATTTTAAGACCATAAACCTAGCTCGTTACTGTTAAACAATTAAGGCGACATAATATTACAACCAGGTCTTCTATTCCCATAGACCATAGTCGTCAGGCCTGTCCTTGTAGATGTGTATACATTTCAATGAACTAGAAAAAGTGTAGAAAAGAGCTTCATGTGGTGCCATCATGGGCAGCTACTACAATGGATATTAATATGCGATGGAACATCTGACTGTCAACATTTGTTTAAACGCGAACAATATTGTGCCTGAAGTTTGCCAGATCCCTGATGGTCTCTGCCTACCAAAATACAGATATCAATCATTGACAGAGTGACTCATAAACTGAACTGTCTGGATTCTGAGTCAACGTCAACTTTCCCCTTGATCACTGTTAACGTTATGTTTGAAGCCACAAAAACAACATATTCTTTATGTTACTGGCAAATGTACCGCAGCTTACTAAACAACATATTCAACATAGTGGGAACAAAAATATGTGACGAAGTTTTCTTTCTCCAGATGGAGTCTGCCGAATCCACCAATCAACCTATCCGTTGCGGAAGACCATCGCAAGACGACGAAGACGTCGAGATGGAGTCTACTGGGGAGACAATCACCGTGCTGTTGTTCGGAAAGACAAGAAGCGGCAAGAGTGCCACTGGTAACTCCATCTTGGGCTTTAAGGGTTTTGATGCGGTCCACTCCACAACGACATCATATACCCAGGTATGCCAAAAAGATAACATAAAGACCGTTGTTGTTGATACCCCTGATGTAACAGAGAATCAGGAAGACAACGCAAGCCAAGAGATCGACAGATGGCGTCAGATGACCAAAGATGGCTTTGATGCTCTCCTCCTCGTCTGCAAACTTGGAGTGCGCTTCACTGACCAACAAGAAAGCCTTCTTGGAACGTTGGAGGAGATTTTCGGGACGGAGATCTACAAGTACACCGTAGTCGTTCTTACACACGAGGATAAGCTTGAAGTAGCTATGGAAGAGGAAGGTTGCACGATGGAAGAGTACATGTCTTCGAGTGGTCTCCGCATACTGATGGAAAAGGTGGAGAGTAGGTACGTGGTCTTAAACAACCGCTGTAAGACCGAAGACGAAAACAGGAAGCAAGTGCGGGACTTACTGAGGGCTGTACGTCAGGTATCTGCAAGGAATCAGGGTCCATACATGTGGGCAAGCGGCGGCTGCTGGCGTAAAGTAGTTGCATTCTTTTCGCGATGATGTACACCTTTCACACATTGGTATAAGTTTGGGTTTGACCGTGTTTTTACATGGTGGTTTAGTGGAAAAGGCATGTGTTAAAATCCTACCGACGAGTAGGATTTTAATGATCTATTTCTCTGGCTGAAGTACAAGTTAAACATTGCTTTTTATGTATCAAATCCCATTTTGGATATACATTTTGTATATAAAACGCAATGGAGTGAAGTACTGTAGAAAAAACAAAACAAATTTTGTCTCAAAGTCAAAGACTTATGTTATCTTAATTTTGTGTTATCTATTTTGTGCAACCCATTTTCAAGAAACATAATCTTTGTCTCTTTAAGGCACTGGAAACAATATAAAACATTAAGTTCGCTTACAAGTTAATGAGTTGCTGCAAGATATCACAGCAAACCATGTACAAACGTCATGAAATGAGAGCACATGAACACATATTTGTATGCTGGTATCATATTTGGGGTTTACAAAGAATGCACATTCATAAATTCAAATCTGTATGACCTATTACATAAGATGCCAAAATGAGAAGATATCAGAATGTACAGTGTCACATATAACTGATGACAGAAATACATCCATACAAAAAAAATCTGACTGATATCAGTACAAATAATTACATTCAAACTACAAAGAAACAAAATGCATAATAGTAATACCTTGATGAATCTTAACAATATCCATTCATATCTTTAGCATTTTCAGTGCAAATGTACACATAAAATCTGTAACTGTTACATTATATACATCTTTCAAATTCATAGCATTTACACTAGCCCAACTCATGTCAATGTAGCTTCGTTACATCTTTATGCATGTTAAGATATCTTCAGATGTTTGGAAATCTAAGGACTAATCAATAAAATCTTTGTTGAAAGTTGGTATCACTGTGAAATGCTTGAACATGACTATGTTCTTAATATCAGTGATCTATTATTGCATGCAAATTGCAGAGCTTTAGTACTATTAGTAGAGACACTGCACAGTAGCTGAATTGAATTAATATTTGTATCTTCGCTGGGATATTCATAGTATGTCTTCTGGTATACAGAGATTTACCTATCAAATTAGCATTTGATATTCCCTGTATTTTATGACAATCTACACCTTTGTAAACATCTTAAGTTTATAGACAACAATTTTGTTGACCATAATTAGTTAGGGGCAACAACCTAAGATATTAACAACAAAAAAGAGCAGCGTACCAGAGCTATCAATTCTTAAAATAGTCAGGAATTATACAATTATTACTATCATAATGATAAAGTGTGATACTTTTACATGTCTCTGGCTATCTCTCTGCATAAGAGAAGTTCATAGTCTTTAAAACAATTCAAATTTAGAAACAAAAAAATTTCCAGAAAAAATTACGATGATTCTTTTCCACAATGTTCAGTTCCCATTGTGGTATCTGGGCCAGTAACCGCCTCTTCTGCGTTTACAAATTCAAATTCTTGGGAAATGGATCTTTTCCGTTCCTTGTTTTCCCCAGCATCCTTTGCAGCAGTTCTCTCGTCAAAACCCGCCACCTCTGTATTTTCCTTGTCTTTAAGGACATTTTCTTCCACATCTTGAGTGTCCTTACACTTGGAGGACTCCTCAGATGTTGTAGAAGACTGTAGAGTTGCTTCCTTGTTATGATAGTCCAACATTTCTTGAGGTGGAGGATCGACTTTGTCCAACACAGCAGCATTGAAGCTTTCGCGACTCTGTGTTTCAGACAAGTTAGTACTGATGCTGTCTTTGCTTTCTGTCTGTGACAGGTAATTCGACAGACTGTCCGTTTCTGACGTGTCCACGTTTTCTTCATCCAGTTTGGTTTCCTCCTGGTCGTGTAACGTCTCCTTGGTGAAGTAGTTGTCATTGATGACAATTTCTTCTGACTCCAGAATGTTAGCACTGAACTTCAGGGTCCCTTTAAGAATGTCTCTCACCTAGAATAACAGAAATAATCAACCATGAGGAATAAATTCATTCAGAGTTTACAACTTACAATTTTAAGAATAATTAAATACACAAAACATTTTCTTGAATAAGAATGATAGTGCAGCATCTTTATTCTATTCTTTATATGGTTTAAGACCTCAGTAACTACTGTGTGGGATTAGAACCCAGGACTCCTAGTACACATGATGAATCAATCCTGACCTGTTTAAGACCTGCTAAAGCCAGGAAGACTTCATCCTCATGTTTCAGATCTTCCTGCAGCATGCTGTCTTGTAGGTGGCCTAGAAGGACAGACAAATTTGTTAGAAATTAGTTTCCCTTAGCTACATCATTCTACCTATCTATAGATTGATGCTTCTACCTGGTGTGATGTGTTGTAATGTTACAACTTAATAATAAACATTCAAAATGTATTGAAATGTACAGTTCAAGTAAAGCTGAAAGACTTTCCAAAGGTATAATAGAATCAGTTCCCCAGTAAAACAGCCAAAGAGACACCATCAAATATGACATATGAGCCAACTAATGAGTGAGTGAAGGAAGGAATCAGAAGAACGTACTGATGTGAGCGTCCATCTTGCTGCTGCAGTATTTACACATGGCCTCCATGTCGTGCAGCTTGGACTGCAGGGCTCCTGTTTTCTTCTGCAGCTTGTCCGCCTCCTGCAGCAAAACCAGGAACAAATTCCAGCATGGAAGTGCCAGCAATAAACAATGTTGATGGATGAAAAAGTACACCCTTGTCCAGGTTAACAACCAACCAACCACTTACACTGTAGGACATCCTTTCTCCCTGCTGCCTAACCAAATGACTCCTTCAGAGACAAGAAAGGCCGCAGTACCAAGAACTAGCCTTTCCTCCTTTTTATGGTGGACCAAAGTTTAGCTCTATAGAGCTGTTGCAAATAGTCAATACCTTTATCACCTTTAGCACCGGTAAATTGAAATAAACAAATTATGCTGGTAGAGATTCTGAGATGGAAAAACACACAAGGAAATGTAGACTGAGAGAACAAAAGAAAGGATGTGAGGATCCAAACCAAAATATCCACAGAAAGTCTTTCCATGACCCTTTCTTGTCTGTCCCAGAGCTATACACCCTAGAACTGTACCTTAAAAGTCCAACCCTTGGTTTTTGCTCTTCATTCCGACTAACATGGTACAGTACTTAGGGGGGCAACTCCATCCACCAGCCATCTAAAATCTGTCGACAAAAACTCACAGGTTTTAACCACTGGTAGAACGCTGTTCCACGGACGTCACTGGGTGACTTGGGCAACTTAAACTTCGCCTTGGTTATGGGTGTTGCTGAAGACAGGGATGAATTGTTCGTGGCTGCTTTTCCATCTGTATTTATTACCTTTGTCATCTTGTAGGTGTATGGTATAAAATTAGTGTGTACAATTGTAGATTAGATTGTTTTTGACAGTTTCTACATTTCAGACCACAATACTTTGGGTCTCTCAGCTCCTGACTAACTTATTTAGCTGAAGTACATGCTGACAAAGGTTTCCCCAGCTAATACTGACATTTCTAATGCTACAGAATTTGTATGCAAGTCTAGAAATTCGGGTTCACCTTATCCCTACATCCTAATCCCATAAAAAATACAAATTTGTTGCCAAACAGCTACCTCAGCACAGGCTAAAGGTTTGGGTTGAAATTTCATCTATCCATTAATGTGTATAAACTTGAATTTTTAGCTAACTACAGTTATCACTTTGTATGTTACAATGCTGAGTACCAATATTTGTATTTTCTATGCTTCACCCTTAAGCTGCGAGTCTTACCTCTTTCAATGATGCCTTGACCTTAGTCCTGCTGTGTGTGCGAGAGGAGGTTGTGTTCCCTGACAGGGGGTCCTTGGCAGCCTGGGGAGACTTCGCCATGTCCTGTAGGGGCTCCATCTTCGCTGCTGCTCGGGACGAAGAACTGGAAGAGGCTTTCAGATCTTCCAGTTCATCTTCCAATGGATGAGAGAAACCTAGAAAAACACAGGCATTCATCAGTGAATATTTACAACATAGTATGTACATAGTTGCAAGTGAAAAGCTTTTTGATCAGAAGTTAAGGTTGTGCAGAGAGGGACAGAAGCAAGATGCACAAAGAAATAAAAATGTGGCAGGCAAGATGTCAAGATTTAAGCCGGCATCACAGCAGGAAAGTAGCTGGACAGGTCTGAGAGCTCTAATGGTCATTGACATCAGCACTCAACTGGTGTACTCTACATCACTACATGAATGCTCACTCAATGTTCACTGGTCTTCAAGCTCCAGGCAAATGAATGGTACATTTTCAGGTGAGAAGTCTAGCAATTCAGAAATTTGACAACCAAATTTGGCCAAAGGTTGATGATAGTGCAATGCCGGCTTAAAAGACAAAAAGAAAACAGCATGTAGATTTATGTACATTGTACTCATTGAAACTTTATACAGGTTTTGGATAAGTGTGTGGTATCTTTAGAGTTACGATAATTGCAAGCAAGTTTTTCCCATATACACATGTATCTATCACATTTTGCAAGACCCTCAAAGCTTTTGGTTTGTCTGTAAAATTTCTTCTTTGGGGGGAAAGGCATGCATAATGAGGGCAGCTACGGCACCTGGGTGATGGGAGGGTGATTCACCCTTGACCCTTGACCTTTCAGGGTCAGAGGGCACGTGTCGTGGTGATCGGAAAAGCTCAGAGTCCTCGGAGCTGGAGCTGAACCAATCGGCTGCGACAACAGCTACGGGAGGGCAGAACACCGAGGACAACAGACAGAGGGGTGAAAATGGACATAGATGTGTTGAGAGGGCAAAAGGCATAGTCTGAGATGAAGCATAGAACCATGCGTGTGGAAAAACTAACTACAGATCAAATTATATCATCATGAAAAGAACTCAAATGTCTTAGCTCCATCAAGATCAATTACTTTCTAAGGTATATCTACATAATTATACGGTTCTTACGGTAATTATATTACAAAATCCTTCATGAAAAGGTGATTTTGTTATCAAGTACTTTTAAGTTCTAATTAAGATAAGTTTATGGTATCAGCCTCTTCAAGTGTCTGTCTTCTCACCAGTCTCTGGTTCGCTATCTGCCTTTTTCATGGTCCTCTTCCGCACTTCACCTCCCTTCGGCTTCTGCATTTTCCGGGTGAGGGTCGACCAACCGGCCGTGACCTTGCTCCCGACATTCTGCATGGACTTTGCCCTTTGACCCCTCTGTTGCTGGCTTTGACTTCCATTGGAGGGGTCAGAGGTCAATTTCATCTGGTGTCCATAGTGGTATTCATAGTTGACAGGTCGAGGATAGTTCTATACAGTGTAGAAGTGCAACATCATTCAGCAATCTGTTAACTAACATAATATATTATACAGAAATCCATACTGAATGATCCCATTGGTCAACACTTGTATAAGATTTGAATCCATTTATAAAGTTGCTCCTTGCTTTCCTAGGGATCGGAGAAAGACTTATTATAATATTTGAACACTCAGACAAAAATGGTAAAAATAACTTCTTGTTTGTCTCCTACCTTGGGGTCTCTGAGATACAGAGCCTTGTTGACTAGGAAATGCACGTCTCCCATTGGTGGATATCTCATGAGTGTGGTCATACAGGTCTGGTAGTCACCGGACACAACTGGAAAAAGAAATCAAAGGTTTCACACCTCTAGGATGTATTTAGTGTTGTGAAATTCTTCCTAATAGTAATTATTATTCATTAGTATGAATTTATGACTGTCTGTGCATTTTCTCTCATTTTGTTGGTCTTAATCTTTATCAAACCTCCAATTAATATCAATACACTTTTAATTGTGCTATGAAGCATTTTTGATGTCAATTCTTTGAATAACAGTGCTAAAACAAAACAAATCAAAACATGCATAGCACTGAGTATATATATAATATATTCATTGTCTATCACACGTACAAGCAATCAAAAACAATCCCAGCACTTACGTAAGTTCTTGATGTACAGCAGCATGGCCACAAAGATGTAGTCCACCAGGCCGAAGCTGATGCCGTCACTGAAGATGGCGTCCCACAGGAAGAGCAGGTCCTGCAGAGGGAACTCACGGCCAAACAGGAGACGGATCCAACGTCTAGGGGGATAATGATACATCTGTCTGTATCTGTGTCTGTATAGCCCGTATAACCGCCCTTTCTTCATAACACACAAGCTTCGCAGGAAAGCGGTGTGGCGGCAGCTGGATACATTACGCCTTGTTACACCTCAGTGATCCTTGAACATCTAACTCTAAACATTGTTGAAAGCTATCTAATGATAATGACCCTACTGTACTTGGTGACAGAGAGCTCCACTCTGTGATAATTACAGGAAAGAACGTGTTTTTGAACACCTAGATCCTTGGTTGATAACCCTGGCATGACTATTATTATTACATGAAGAAATAATCAATATACTGAAGCCACAGAAATTATGTGTACTTCAGGATACCTTAGACAAGATCAGGATAGCTTAGACAAGGTAGTTAAGAAAGGATAAGTAACACTAAAGACTATATTAGACCTTTAGTCATTTACTTTGGAATTCATACATGTATTTAATCTTCTCCTTGCCACGTAACCCTAGAAACAATGCAAATTTTATGACAAACAGTACCTTGGGAGGCTGAAGGTTAAGCTGCGTAGTACACTTACATTCCGTAGACCTGTGGCGGGATCTGCAGTCTCCGCAGGTGTGCGTGGAGCGTGTGGTCGTGTTTCTTCAGGATCAGGTCCTGTACCCGTGTCAGCTTCGTCACGATGGCCGGCGAGGGCGCCGAGTCCTCGGGATTGGAGAAGGGAACTTGCATGGCAATGTCATGGTTCTGTAAGGGAGCAAATAATACCGTAATTTGCTTTCACAGTAGCAACAAGTTCACGGTCTGAAAAAAACGGAGATGTTCACTGAACTATAAGTTCCAGTGGCAGCAGGTGTAGAAAAAAAGTTGACAAGTTATTTCTTGATGGTAATGATAAGTTTGTGGTACAGAAGTGACCGTGAAAATGGTGAAAAAAAATTACGTTTTAGTAGTACATTTATAACTAGAGATGCTGCCATTTGCAAGCAAATACAGCATATTTCACTCCATCTCCCTCTTTCTGGAAAAACGGAATCTACCACATACCTGAGAAGCCGGGGGTGTTTCTACACACAGGTGAGAGTACCAGGGTTCTACTGTCTCCATGATCTGACAGAACATTGCACTGCAAAGAACAATTCAGGAATGTTTGTTTTTGCATTGTGGCATTATCAACCTTACAAAAACATTAGAAGATTGTTGCTATTTGACTGAATTATCATCAAAATACGAGATGGGTAACAACTTTTCTGTCCTACAATATTTGGTGAAAGAGTTTCTATAACACTTCTTTTTCTAAACCAAAGCCTACTCTAAACTTTGCAATAAATTATACAACTTATCATATCAGTTTCAGTTTCAGTGTATCAAAACAAAAAGACGTTGACTTACTATGCATCATTCTCCAGGTATGCTGGGTCCAATACAAGTCTAGCTATGTCTCTGTAAAAAAGAAAAAGGAGAATGTAGAAGTTCTGCTGCAGTAACATAGGAAGCTGCCAGGAGGGCGATAAACTTTTGCTGCCAGAAAAGGCCATCTTAGATCCTTGTTGGTGGTTGGTGACTGCTTGACATCAAAATCATATGACATCAAAATTATACAAAGACCTACAACCAATGTACCAGCAACACTTTAAATGGTAACTTACGGTGTAGTAGAAATTTCTGAAGCGTGCAGGAAGGCCTGATGGTCACAGTGGAGAACAAAGATGACAGGAGCCAGGAGCTCGTGCATTCCCTGGGGAATTACAGAAATCATGTGGTTTTAAAAAATCTTACACATGTACTAGAAAAGATAATGTACTCTGGATATTAACGACATTTGATATAATACGCTCAAAGTGTACACTATAAAGTCAAGTCAAAGCTTATTGCACAACGATTGTAACAGGTACAATGTAAATTACTAGCATAAAAGTTCATGAAAGTAAGATTTGACCAGGTTAAGGTTTGTCTGATTTAAATGTTACTGTACAGTAGTAAATTTGATTCAGAAAAATAAATCAGAGCTGACCTGTCTGTATCCCAGTCTCACGTTCTCTCTGGCATAGCAGAACAGGATGTTTATCATCATCTCCCTGGGAACAAGAGCATTGAACATTACTACCATGGGAAAGAGAACAAAACACCCCCCTCCCCAATAAAAGGTATTTTGATTATCATTTCAGTACATTACAATCAAAACAAAACAGAACAGCCACCATTATTTGCAGACAACAAACACAAATCATTTTCTATACAGATATATGGAGTAAAAAGTACTTACCTAAGTTCCTTTTTCTGAAAGAATTCTATTTCTGGGAAGCTGCAAAGAGACACAAGAAATACAATAATTTGTAATTGCACATCAAATCCTTAGATTTAATGTTGAGTAAAACCGTTTCGGTTACTGTTGTGAAAATGGATAAAAAACAGCTAATCAATCTAATACCCAGCACTTTATGGCCCCTAATCCTTACTGGCTAGAGATCTAATACTGTGTAGAATTGAAAAGCAAAAAAATTTTGCTCAAAGAAGTTCAAGCAATGCTTCAATACAACTTACGTTCTCCGAACATCTTGACTTATCATTTCTCGCAACTCCTCATCCTTAAAGAACTGGTTCCAAGGACTCTGTGAAGTCAAAGAAGATTGATTTTTATAAGACAGTGCTCATGACTCAATGACTTGAGAGTTGCTGGGTAAAATAAACAAGAGGGAAAATTAAAAGAAGCAAACTGATCTAGATAAAAAGCAATACCTACAATGTAAAACTGTATAGTTAACAGTATATGTACGTATAATCTAATGTGCATAGTAACATGGTAATTTCATGATCATCCCACCTCTTCCTCCTGTGATAGAGGGTTACTGATAGCCAGGTCCAGTTCTTGGGCCTTCTGTCGTGGGTTTACAATATGCTGAAAATAAACACAGAAGTATTATAATTATACAATGTAGGCTGCATATTCAAGTGATCAAGAATGCTCCTATTAGAAATTCTTGGACTAGGAATGGTTCATCTGGAGTTAGAAGTGTTTGGCCACAAGCTCTTGAGCAGGAGGCCCAGTCGGTTCTTGATGGTGAGAGATAGTGTAACACAGACAACCAACTCACCCTGTCTCTGATGTCGTTGTACATTGACCTCCACTGTTTGACCTTGTAGGTCCAGTCAGACTGGGACTCAGGCATCACCTCAAGGAACAACTGATCAGATGGGAAAAGGAAAGTCCGGTATTATTCAAGGAGCCACCCATTTGAATATGACACATACCAAAAAATCATGCTAAAGTTGTGACATTTTTACACAGGCATTACATTTCTTCAAGTGTGCATCATTGGCCAATCAGTACTGCACACCTTTCTTCTTCATCAACCCATACAACCATACGTGGTTGTAATTTTAACCAAATTAAGAATAGAATTTTGTAATTGGTCCAAACAGCCTGGCTATATGATAATGATTAAATGATTGACAATGACTGGATGATTAACTAGGAAGAGTTCCTACCCTCCAACAGACGCTCCTGAAGCGACAGCTGCGTAGCTCGCCCCTCAGGGCGGCCTGTCGGACTGTCCGGATGTAGTCAGGTGACATGAACAGTCGCTTCCACTCATCACTGCAGCAAAACAACAACAAACAGTTTTAAATTAGTAGTGCACAAAATTCTACATGTCACTTCCATCCACTCAACACTGCAGCAAAACAACAACAAACAGTTTAGAATAGATGTGTAAAAAAATTCCACATGAAGGCTATTAGACCATTACATCTTCATGAATAAAATATCTTTACACACACATTTTTGTCCATGAAAGATGACAGATAGAGCAAATTTTTTGTCCCTCATGAGCAACAAAATTCCATGAGTGACATAAAGACAGACACTGACTAGACCACTGATGTTAAAAAAAACAGTGGGCCGATTTGAGTAATCTCCAAGCAGATCATACAGTGGCAATTCTCCATTGGGCAGACGACTGTCCATTAGCAGGTGGCCAATGGATACTGTCTGGCTAATGGGTACTGCCAGGTCAATTTGGTACTGTCTTTTGATGTCACCAAAAAATTTGCTTGGAGATAAGATTTGAATACATTGTACTTCATGACTAAACAATTAGGCTCAAACAAACAAACAAACAAACAAACAAACAAACAAACACACCTGTAAGAATGAGTGACAGGAGTGGGAGGTTCTGAGCTGTTCTCCTGGTCCAGGTTGTCTTCTATAGAGTCCTCCTGTCCCTGGAACACTGGGTTACTGATCATCAGCCTATCATCCATCGTCTCTGTCTTATCTACACAGGAAGAAGTAAACAATAAGAGACCAATAAGGTGTTGGGAAAGGATAGAAATATATCTGTGTTAGGCCTTACCCTGGGTGCTATCCTATTAATGCTAACGGCATACAAATAGGATGGCAGATTTTGAATCTATCTACACTCAGACAAATTTTGCAACTCAAAAAAGACATGCAGGTAGAGAAACATATACATAAATATTTCTTTATTGTTACATAGACAGTCAGTCACCATATGACCTTATACCCACAAAGGATTGCATCTATGTATTCTTTCATGCATTGTACTAACTTCAGGAGGAGAAAATATAAAAATCTAACTACAGACACAAACTTGGGGATGGAAATGATAAAGATTATCACAATATGTTATAGGGACTGGCTACCATAGAAAACATTAAACAAGCCATCATGCATGCCAAAGGCCTTTTTTGTAGAAATTCTGTTCTGTTGCAACAGAACTGAATTTTCTCAACTCAAATCTTTCAAAGAAGGCCTTTAATAGAGCCTCTATTCTACTGGGGTTTTACTACATAATCATGCGGGAGTCTTGTTGCAGGTGATTTCAGCACTCACCGACTTACTGACACACAGATATTCTGGACTTTAATACACTTCTGCACACTGTTAGTCTGTAAAATAACATTTACATTGAATCTATGCTGTAGCAATATCCCATTTTTTAAATCTCCCTCTTGTACGTGTACACGTTCACGAATGTGTAATCTCACTAGCTGAAAAGACATACTATACGCTTCATTTACCTGACACAAAAGCAACATAAAGAAGATAGAAAACAAGAAGAGAAAACTGAGCAAGCTGTAATTTTGCAATTCAAACATTAAGGACTGTGTTACTGATCAATGTTCAATTTTAGAATTAAAAATAGTTATCAAATTGTTAACATACTATTCAGATCAATCATAGTTATATCCTGATAAAATGGAAAATAGAGGCACATTGTAAATGAAAACATTTCTGTAAAAGCATGCAAGTTTTATGAAAATTCATATCAAAACAAAACTTATTATATACATGATGTTATATAAGTAAAAGTTGTAAGTACACTCACCAGACAATGGATGCCCCCCGTTGCCAAACATGTCCAGAGTACTATGGATGTCATCACTCAAACGCTGGCTCTTAGATTCTGTCATGTCTTAAAGATTATTGCATCAAATCCTTTGGATGAAAAATCATAGCAGCGGAAGTGTTCAGCCCTATGTTACGTGATGTTGCCAGTTCTGTTGTCTGTGTCATAGAACCATTTTATACACCTGGGAGTTCAACAGTTGGATGTACCCAGTCCAAACCAAAGGCTTTCTGAAATAAAAGATAAGATTATGAATGTTTTGAGATTCAGTGTTCTTGCTATTAAGACAATCAAAGATGGCAGGCTTCACTCCCTAGTAAATTATGATACAAATTGTGTAAACTTTTTTTCTGTTAACCCAACTGTGAATATGAGAGATAAAGAGAAAAACAAATATAATGTGAGCTAAAATAGCAGTTCAAGTCACAGTGTCATTTGACACAACATTATGTAAAACTTGTGTAACTACATAGACTAAAGTTAACTAGGTCAATGTTTAGAAGGTTTAAAGGGCCAAATAAGTATACAACTTGATGAATGTGTATACTGTATAGCTTTAGATTGAAGAAATAACAACTGTGCCCATTTTAGACTCGTTGTATAAACAGAGTACTAACGAAGTAATCAGTCTGATCATCACTCTGGAACAATTTGACGTTTTATAGCCCTGGCGGCAAATTGTCTTCTGCGAAAATCATGTGATGTTATGTTGTGCCCCCCTCCCCATTTTACACTAAGGCGATTTGCAGTTACCTTGGCTTAAATTACACGAAATCGGCAAAATTTCTGCCCCTTCTACATAAGCTAACGAAGCAGAAAAGGCTAATTCAAATGCATATTTGATGTAAAGCTCGCAAAGTAAACGTTTGAAGCACAAGCGGAAGAAGTTTTTACTTACATCCACCTGATCGGCAAGATGGCGGCTGGGTCACGTGACGAGTTGTGTCATGCGGAGGGGCAAACCATTTCTGTCAGGGGGAGATCACTAATCTCGGGTGGGGTTGTGAGTGGATGAGTGAATGAGTGAGTGAGTGTGTGTGTGTGTGTGTGAGTGAGTGAGTGAGTGAGTGAGTGTGATTGAGTGAGTGTGTGTGTGAGTGTGTGTGTGAGTGAGTGTGTGAGTCAGTGAGTGAGTGAGTGAGTGAGTGAGTGGTGAGTGAGTGGGTGAGTGAGTGAGTGTGTGTGAGTGAGTGAGTGTGTGAGTGTGTGTGTGTGTGAGTGAGTGAGTGAGTGAGTGAGTGAGTGAGTGAGTGAGTGAGTGAGTGAGTGAGTGAGTGAGTGAGTGGGTGGGTCAACGGTCACTGGTATAACTTGTGACATGTTGAGCAGCATTCCACACGGTTCCAGCAAGTTTGGCGTGAGTAGGGCGAGGAGTGGACATATTTGACGCACAACTGACCGATGCTGGACGTGTTGTCAATGGACAGTCGGCTGTATTCACAACAGAACAGAACGTGTTCATGATATCCTGTTTGCTACCTTCTCAGAACCATATATGAAAAATCCATTTCTTTCTTAACAACTTACTAGCATTTAGAAGATCTCTCTTCTGGGCCTCCATAACGGACTAATTCCCAGTTGGCACAGTCGTGGTACGATTCATTGGTGCATTTCACCCGGCTCAAGGCGGGGTCGGCGTAAACTAGGGCCTCTGTTCCGTCAGCTGCAGCTGGAACAGAAAAACAACAGAAGCCCAGACCTTTTTAGATGGAAGGTCGGCCGCATACGCTAGCCGGCCCTTAAGATTAAGGGTACACCAATATATAAACCACTCTACGTGGTTTTAATGGATGTCAATCAGCGTACCAGTGTCTTTAAAAATCTTAAATGGAAGGTGAACCTAACCAAATAGTTAAGACAACACGGTAGTGACCGTCGAATTATCGGTGAACCAAACGAAGCCGGATAAACCGCTCTACTTGGTTATTGATCTGACGAGGGTTGACGAGATCGATCGAATTTTTTTTGTGTTGGAACAAAGCTTCAACTTTACAACAGTTACTATGGTTTTGATCTTTATTTGTATAATTTATGATTATATTGACTATCGCTTTGACGTTACCAATACTACCTTGTTTGTGTGGTGTCAGGGTTTGTTTGCTTGCAATTGGAACTGTCGTCTTGGAATCGGAACCAGACATGGGAACATCAGCTTTAGTCGTTTCTCTCGCCCTCTGGTGCGTGGATGTCACGGCGGACTTCCAGCCAAAAGTCAGCCAATCAGCGGGTGTTGAAGTAGTGACGTCATTTGGAGGAAGTGGCGTCATGAAGGTCGGCCCCTTTGTAGTTTTGTTTTCGATGCTATTGTTTAAACCCATCTCTAACTCTTTGACTTTTGTGTTCGTTCGTCCCGTTGACACAAGAAAATTCAGCACAATTGGAATGGTTACTATAAGTATGCCAATACATACAGCCACTGCTATACTTATCATAATGAGCCGTCGGCGGTTAAAGCAAGCTGTACAACGGTTTGCCTTGGCGCGTCCTCTCCGGGAACCTGAAAAAAAAAGGAAAATTGTCATGAAATTAGTTCAAGATGCAAACCATATTTCATTGGTTTCCGATATTTCATGTTATGTTATGTTACGTTACGGTATGTTTTGGAATCGCTCAGTAACATTGGCATCATACCTGGTGAATGGTTCCTTTGCCTTTCGGGAGTTCTCGATGATGGTGTGTACATGGGGTTAGGTTGAAGACAGGAGGCAATAGCTTGGGCGCTGGTTAGTGCAGAGAACTGTATCTGGCTAGCCGAGGTGACTGTCGTGGCTTCATTGACGGCAAATTGCCGCCGTGCTGTCCCCTCCAACTCATCGGGTATCACTGCACCTAACGCCGACTCGCCCATGTGGTTACCTTGTAGGCAGGCTGGTGCCCTGGCCAAGGGCTGTAGGATGTTATTCCCGAGGGATGTAAATGTTAGTGGATCGCCTTGTGGCGTTGTTGTCGTTGGCTGATTGGCTAGTGCAGAATTCATTTGGTCACCGATGTCACCCTCGTCTGCGTAAAAGCGAACCTTTCGCCTCTCCTTCTTTTGCCATGCGCCAGACCGCAAACTGCCAGAACCTACCCCTGTGTTCTGGTAGAAGTGCGGTGGAATTGTGGTGTCAGTTGGAGGAAGCTCTTGTGCTGTGAGATGTGACATGCGCGGGTGCCATCTCTCTTTTCGACTCCCCGGTTGCGCCTCGAGCCGCCCTGGCATTGTGGTATGTTCTGGTATGAGACCTTTGCTTCTGCAACTGCACGCATAGGTGTTGCTGAAAATCGTAATGATGCAGCACCATCGTCCTGGTTGTTGGCTACGTCAGAACTTACATGGTCTGAGTCAAAGAACTTCGAAACTGACGGTTTCTGTTTAAGTGGAAGGCGCCGGAACTCGTTCCCATCTTCAAAACCGCCACGAGGGGAGTCAGTGTGCCCTGACTTTGTGCTCTGTTGCACTGCCGAAGGTGTGTTCTTGTGCTCTTTAGTAGTGCCCATCCCAGCGTTAGGATTCAGGTAGGCAACTGCGTAGTACTCGATCATAGATTCTGGTCTTTGTACTGGGCCTTGTGAATTGTTCGCGTGTTGGGCTTCCGTTGTGTGTGCACCACGGGGAACGTCGTGAGCATGGCGAACGGGAAGAAACTGTACGGTTGGTGCTGAAGCGCCTTCCGACAGTGGGTACGAACGGAGGTTCTCGCCAAAGTCCGCCACGAGTCGCGGCCACGTCGGTCTTTTTCGGAATCTCCCGTTCGGGAATCCTGGAACTCTCAAAGCCATTTTTCACTGATACAATAAAAAAAACGTAATTATACCCGAAGGGTAATAGCAAATCGCTTGTTGCCTTGAATACCACGGTAAATGTATATACCTTGTACTTAAAGATTCAGAACATCACCACATCGCCATACCCACGAAGTACCCATATACATGTGTATGGGTGCATACATACATACACGCAGGTAAAGCTTTGATATTGGATCGAATATTGTATGCTTTGATAAGAGAATAACATTCCCACTGATTGTCTGAGACGTCATCGCTGGTTGTGTGTGAGAGTGTTGCAAATCACGAAACTGAATATTTCAGTCAAGCAGATATATTGATCAGCAATTCAAAACAATTATGCAACTGTATAAACCTTTATGAAATGTACAACACTAAATTTACAATTGTAGTCACTCAGCAAATTACATTTTTCACCGTTATAGTTATAAATGACGGCTACCAGTGCTTGCGTAAAAAAACCCTGACCAAACCTACCTGTACTTCTACTTACCTACAGTGCAGTAGATGACCGTAGCCTGAGGTGGCCTTGTGGCTAACGCTTCTGAATCAGGAGGTCGAGATGGAACCACGACATTTGTGTTCTATACCCTGGTTTACAAGCTACTATTACCAGGTGCTGTATAATATAGCGAGGGACAAAGAATGCCACAAAACCTATTGATGCGGAGATGCCACCTGCTGAATTCACAGCGAAACCAATGGCAATGAAAAACGGATAAATAAAACCGGGGGAGCGGAGGGTTCACCCAAATCTTTTCTAGCAGAGCTATCAGGGAGCTTAAACCTACACGTACCACCTCTAAGTATGGAAATGTCGAGTTACGCCCACAGACAATTTATTAAATCTGTGGTTAACAAGTGGGTGAAAACCAAGTGCTATTGCAAGGCATGTCACGTACCCTGCACTTGTGGTTGGGAAGAGCTGGCAGACTAATTATCTGTGTCTCTGCACATGCCCGTCATAGCTTAGCGAAGGTTCTTCGCTAGATTAGTCTCTGTACTAACCCATGTGCCTAGTAACGACATGGGTTGCAGAGACTGTTACTACGGGAACAATACGTGTAGTTGTCATTGCGTCATACTTCTAATATTGCCCGTGTTAGGCCCAAGACAAACAAATATTGCATCCCGAACACTGCCGAACTCCGCCCAACCATGGTTGGTTTGTGTTCGGCGAGGTCGGCTACAGTTAGGCTGAGTCACCCGAATGTTTCAAAATGTTTAAAACATTCGGGAGTGGACGAAAGGTTGTGGACTGGTTGGCGGGTGTTTGGGAGTAGGTCTGAAGTGGTCGACCGGTCGGGGCATGGTTGGCAGTCAATTTGACTCAAATTAACTCAAATGTGATTCAAACTTATAGAAAGGGAGGCAAGGTAGAAACATCGCAACAAAACGTGATGTTACCATGGCACTAAGTTGCCGGCTGTCGGGCGTCACGTGTATGACGCTACCAGTGTAGACTAATCCAGTGCCAGAAAAGTGATCAGAAAGATTAAACAGAAAACTCAAAGGTGAAAGCAGTCTATGATCAACTCCCACACAGTAGATGCGCTTTATTTGTCGCTTGCACAGCTGCCGCATAGGGCAGACGTTTGGGGTCTCTCCCGCTTGTGGTTCCTGCGTTTCGTCTTCTCTATCATGTGTTGCCGCTCAGTCGAGAAATACAGCTGCGCTAATACGGGTGTTAACCGGCACATGCCAGAGAGAACCTCCATTTTTTTTCAAGAGTGACAATTGAGGGACAGAACATTTTCGCAGTGTGGTAGGTTCTTTGGCAGCTTGTAGGGACTGCAAGTCTTATAAGTGCTACGTGCACATCGCGACTCCATTAGGTCAACCCTGTGATCCAGAAGAAGGCTTGCTACACGCTTGCCTAGGCTAACGCGCTGCACGCGCAAAAATACAGGTGATTCTTTCCTTTTTATCGGTGTAGACTAAAGATGTGATCTTTTTTCACATGGACTGTAACGGGCTCTAGAATATTATTGAGTTGCGTGATTTTCTTGTCGTAGTATACATGGGGATGTGATTAAATTATGCATGCAATGTTGTAGCTGTGCTAATCTACCGAGAAATCTGTCTTGAAAGAGTGTATAAGATCACGCGTTGGTAGCATTTCGTGAAGTTACAAATGCTGGCTCTTCATATCTCAATTCCTCCGTGTACAGTAGTATTGTTTTGGGTGGCTGAGTTTGTTTATCTGTTTATTCGGACAGAGT